CTGCTCCCAGGGCAGGCTGAGCTGTTCATGCTTCCCTCTTGTGTTACAGGCCTGTGCTTGAAGGAGAACTGATTCACCAGAAACCTCTGCTCCCAGGGCCCTGCTTCCCAAGCAGCTGTGCCTTGTGGGGTGCCCCACATTCAGGAATTCAGATTACAAGGAGGTAAATGAAGGTTAAACAGGTGAGTCATGGTGGGCTGGAGAATCAAAGAATAATCTCCTCCGAGTCGTAGGTGGGGGAAATTCTTGCAACATCTGAGTTGCAGAGGGCTGGAGACTTTCCTGGACCTCTCCCAACATTCACCTCTCTATTAAAAACTTCCTGTTCCTCCTTATCCTGCTCCTGCAGAGTGAGGGATCTGTGGTTTTTAGGGTGAATGAGGGTTCCTGGTGGTTTATGACTTTGAGGGTGGTTTTCATGTGTGTCCTCTCTCCAGCCCTACTCCAAGTAACCTGGAATGGATGAATCCATGGTATGGATCCAATGTTATTCCAGGTGGACCAGCTCTCTGGACTCTCTCCAGGTGGTTCTTATCTCCAGGAAATGTGTTGTGCAATGCAGGATCCTGCACTCTGGATGAGATCTCCTGGATACAAATCAAAAGTACCTGGAAGAGCACCACCTTTTCCAGCTGAAAGTTGAGCTGTTCTGCTCAAAAATGATAAAAAAGAGCTACTTGTATCACATTTTTTTAAAAGAAATTAGAAAAAAAAAAGTGTTTGAGGTGGGTTATTGCCATTTTTATTTCAAACAGCTTCACATAAAAAATCTCCTTCTCTTTTCTAAGGAGGTTTTTCATTGTACCAATTCTGATGGTATCTGAGTAATTCCTTAGGTGTAGAATCACAGGATAGGGAATAGGTTGGAAAGGAGCTTCAAGCTCCTTCAGTTCCCATCCTGTACCACCTTCCACTATCCCAGGATGTCCTGATGTCCCTGCCCATGGCAGGGTTGGAACAAGATGAGCTTTAAGATCTTTTCCAACCCAAACCTTTTGGTATTCCATCATCTTACAGTGAATTTATAAACATCCAAGAACAAACCTGCTGTTATATTTCTTTCCAATAACAAAACATTAATTTAGTAATATTGTTTAATGAAAAAGAAAGCAATTTAGAGGCTTTTATTAAAATAACTTTCAGGAGCACAGTGGAAACTCTTCCTGCCTGGTCCTGGGCGTGTGCATGGGTGCTGATGATTCAGGTGAAGGCTTATAAAAATGGACAAATAATTGCTCAATTTACTTAATATTGAAATTTATGGGACAGTGAATGAATCTCTTGGGAGGAAAAAAGCCCAAGCTGTGGTTTTGATGGCCCTCAGGCCATCATTTCTCAATTGGAAAATTGAGGCACATCCAGAAAGCCTTGGGATGAAAAAACAAGGAGCGGCCTGAGGAAGGTTTGGAAAGGGAAACTGAGCTGTGAAATTGCTGTGGTTGGGAAAATGAGCCATGAGCTCCATGGAAAAGGCTGCACTGCTTCAGGCACGAGGATCTCAGCCTCACAAATGCCCTGGGGAGAGGAGGAAGGTGAAACTGGGAAGTGGGAAGGAGGAGTTTGTTGTGTCGTATTTTGGGATTAGTGGGTTGGGATTAATGGAGCAATCCCATCCCCGCTGCCTTTCATTCAACAGCTGCCTCCAGGCAGGTGAGGTGTCCCAACTGCAGGGAATGACTGAGGGAGGAGGAAATTTGGGAGTAGGGAAGGGATCTTTTGCCTATGGAAGCCCCTAGAGAGAATGGAGTCTGCCTCCTTATTCTCCTGAATTCCCACCCCACCGCTGCCCTTCCCAAGGCAGGGAGGATGTTCCTGAGCCCTCATCCCCAGAGCAGCAAAAATCAGTTTCTGTGAAAGCTCAGGACTGGTTCTGCTGAAAAAAACCCTCACATTTATCTGTCACTGATCAGCTGTGGTGATATTGTGGGAGATTCTGGATCTCTTCCAGCTCCCTGAGCTATCAGGAGAGCAGTCGGAGAATTTGATCTAAATTTGACTTCTCCCTTTAGCTCTAGGAAATAAATAAATAAATAAACAAATAAATAAATAAATAAATAAATAAATAAATAAATAAAATGAAAAAATATTTAAAAAATTAGTAGAAAGACAGCAGATATAGATGGGATATTGGGAATTAGGAATTGTTCTCTGGGAGGGTGGGCAGGCCCTGGCACAGGGTGCCCAGAGCAGCTGGGGCTGCCCCTGGATCCCTGAAAATGTCCAAGTCCAGCTTGAACAGGGCTTGGATCATCCTGGGGTAGTGGAAGGTGCCCCTGCCCATGGCAGGGAGTGGAATTTTGGAGCTTTAAGCTCCTTTCCAACCCAAATCATTCCATTATTCTATGGAATACGATGGGAATAGTTTATTTAAGCAGCAGCCTGAAGATATAGAACACACAAAATCTTCCTGTAATTTTACACATGGATTCGAGAGAGGATTGTTAAGGGATTTGACAGGCATTTTCTGATTTTTGCAGGATTTCTTTCACTCCAAATAAGCTACAGTCAATATTTCAGTCAGGTTTTAGACAAACCCAGGGTTTAGTGAGGCAGCTGCTCTGTAATTGTTTGTAAATGTGGCAGTAAATGAAGGCAATCAACAGCCAACCCATGGCTCCGTGCCATTGGAAAAAGAGCGAGTTGGTGATGTAGCAATAAAAATGTCATTCTTGGGACTAATTATGTATATAAAATTGTTTGAGCCTTCATCAAATATGTGCCCATAGTGGACATTGGCAGTATTATCTTAAAAGAAAAATATGTCTCCAAATTGTACTGGAAAATGAGATTTTTTTTTTTTTACAAGCAGCCTTAACAGAGAACTTGGGATATTTCTACTGCTGAATTTCATCTATTTTCTTCATGTTGATCATAAAGTTTTGATTTCTTGCCTCCAGATATCCAGGTTTTACCACCAGACAAAAAACTCAACTCATCAAAAATGGCTTGAGTCATCAAAAACTCAAAACTCAAGTCATCAAAAATATCCTTTGTTGCAACCTCTGTGTTTTCTCCTCATCTCCAACCTGTTGTAACTGTCCATTAATGTGCAGGTAGGTGCATTCCTACTGCTGTCCCAGTGACCCCAGGAAAAAGGAATGGAGCTCTCCAACCTCTTATCTCTTTTTCCAAGCCAGCTGCTCCTCAGTGAGCACATTCATAGCAAGGGAAATGTGTGAGCTCTCCCTGCTTTTGAGTTTGAATTGTATCAGGAACCCAAAAAATACAGTAGCAATTCATCTGAAATAATTAAAAGAATCATTTCTATGTCTTGTTGAAAGATACCAGGAAATCTAATTTAAATCCAGTTCCAGGATAATGCCTGCTTTTTGTACCCTGCTTTTCTGGTGCAGAAGCCGGGGGAATTCTGAATTTCTGCTTACATTCCCCTCTCTCATTTTTTTTTTTTTTTTTTGACCCTGTGCAGAGAACCGCATGAAAATCCTATTGATTCTGGTGAAACCCTTGAATTATCCCAGAACTGGCACTTTTATTGGTAAAAGATAAATTCTAATAGATAAAGCTGGAGCTCAGGAGTGCTCAAGACAGAAGGAGGCCCCTGAACACACAATATTGTGCCCTGTAGGGCCGTGTTTCATCTTTGCAGAGCAGATTAGAGCTGCTGAGTTGTGTCCTGAGATCCTCATGGGACTGTCAAGTGAATTTTTTATGTCTTTACATCACTCCTGTGGAAAAAAATATCCAATTAAGAGGTAGAGAAGGGAGGAGTTGCCTCCTTCTAAAGTTATCTCCAGCAAAAATGGAAATTGGTGGGGGTTTGGGGAAAAATGCCAATGGGTATGAGAGTAGGGAATGGTGGGAAAGGTGACAGCAGGACATTGTACCCTGCCCAAAGTGGGACAACTGGGAGTGGCAGGCACTGGGGAGGGAGATTAAATAACTGAAAATTTACTAAATCATTGAACTCTTCAATTATTTATTAATAATAAAGCCAGCTTGATCGAGGGCTGGTGTAATCCAATTATCTCACTGGGAAGTTTGGCCATGCTGGAACCAAGGCAAACTTTCCTGGAGCTGCTTCCCAGCTTCCAGAGGTCACTTCCAGCATGGTGGGGCTGTGAAATTTCAGCTGGAGAGGGTGGGGAAAGTAAATTCTTCTCAATATTTTTCTCTTTTTTTCTCAAAACTGGAGTTTGTTTGTGGAAACCCAAACTCTGTGAGGAAACAGCCACTCCTGGGGTGTCAATCTCTGTGCATTCCCAATTAAGCTACCAACCTCAGCATGGTGGGTTTAGGTGGCAATCATGGAATATCCTGAGTTGGGATCCATCAGAATCATGGATCCAGCTCCTGGCCCTGCACAGACACCCCAATAATCCCACCTTGTGCATCCTTGGGAATTTACCCAAATAATTCTGGATCTCTGTCAGCCTCAGGCCCATGAGGCAGAGCCCTCTGGGGGAAGAACCTTTCCCTGATCTCCAACCCGTTGCTACACATGCACAAATATTGGGGAAACAGGGCCAAAATTCAAGTGCTGAGGGGTTTTGTGTTTTCAGTCTGTGGATAGAAAGCAAAGCTTGCTGTTGGAAAAATCTACCTGCTGAGGGAAGTGGTTTTAGTCCAGCAGTGCAGTCTCCTCATGGCAAACAAAATAAAAGCTCTGGGACAAGCTGGTGTTCAATAATTCCTGGGTACAGAGCCACTACTCCAAAATGAGCACCTGATACAGTTTTGAGATGTAGAACCAGAGAATGAGAAGCCTTCTAGCAAATTGGTGCCTTTTTTGGTTGTTTGTAGCTTTTGTTGGTTGAGGAGGGGATCGGCAGGACTGACAGAGCAACACAGCTCCCCACCTCAAAAAATGAATTATTTTAGCCCTCTAAATGTGCTGATTTAAAGGATTTGGGAGGATGGAGTTGCATGTTTTGATCCTCCTTCTCACCTCTTCCTGAGCTGCTTCTGATCTCAGCTAAAAGTCTGGATGGGGAGTGTGAAGCAGTTCATCAGAGGGGGATGAAAAGGCTGGCTCTGGAGAGATGGACAAGCAGCAGGACAGACAGATGAGAGTGAGGGGTAATCAAAGGGAAAAAGACGTGAGAGACAGGTGAGTGGGGTGGGAAGGGCAGATAAAATGGGCATAACCAACAGGGGCTACTGAGAGAAAAGCTGAGTCAGGTAGAAATACTTGTGGGAGAAGTTGTTTTGGCTTCCAGCTGTGGTCACCCAGAGTAGGCAGAGAAATGAAACAAATCCTCCATTGGCTGTGGATTCTCCTGCAAATGTGAGCACCTCTGGGGAGAGGGTTCTGTTGGATGTGTGTGACAAATGGGACAGAATCCCAGAGTGCTTTGGGTGGGAAGGGACCTTAAATCCCACCCAGT